AAAGAGGACTCAATAAAGGTGTCAGATGTGGTCCTCGTATGTCACCCTCAAAGTCGTTGCTGCTGTGTATCAGATCGGAGTTATTCGCAATGAGAGTGCCGTCACAGTACATGGGCTGCGCGCTCGGGACATCCACGTCCCTTCGAAGGCCCCTGATATATATATATATATATATAAATATATTCTATTTATACCATTTAACTACTATTGCATTGTTTATGGTAAGGTTTTACATACCTTGTAATTTAAATCAAATCAGGTTTTTTACTAAACTACATGTCTGTTCGTCTACCCACTGTAAAACGCTGCGGAATTTGATGGCGCTATTTAAATAATAACATAATAATAATAAACAGAGAATTGTCGGAATTCAAAGTGAATTTCAAATTTAATTCCAAAATAGCTGATTTGGAAAAAAAAAATCTCCCGGTGAACTATACTACCAGTTTGACTATTTTGATCTGAAATTCACTTTGAATTTATTTAGAATTTCTGACAATTTGTACTTTAGGGAATAACCCCGTAAATCTTTAAATGAAGAATTGTATAAAAATTTTTATTAAAGGGTTACTCCAACCATCATAACATTACAGCCCGCTGCAGTGGTTATGATGGTAAGAGTACCCTGGCACCTCTCAGCCAATGAATGCCCCTCTGTGCATGGAAATATACACAGAATTGACATTAGCCATTAGAAACTCTTGTTCCATGCTGGCTAATGATGCACAATGATGCTGCTGGAGGTGGAGTTACACCATCAGACGCAAAACTCAGAATGTACTCCACCATGACCACTTCAAATAACTGACATCACATGGTGCTTGGAGTACTCCATTTCTTTTTCATATCTTAGGTTAGGACTCACCATATGTACGTCTCAATCTTTGGCAAGGTATACGACTGAGATGGGTTAGGAAGTGGGGTTGGGGCATGCCAGATGCAAATTACAAATGCAAAATTATTGGGTGGACACATCCACAGAACAAGCGTGTCACACTGGCATGTAATCAGACTGACAGCCCCCCAGCTCATCACACCCAGAGCCACACTAGTGCCCTCACCACAATAAGAGTGTGTTTAATAATGTGCTTGCTCTGTGTGGGATGGAGAGAGTTCACAGTTGTCACCAAGGAACATAATCGTTGGGAGACCTGCTCACCAAGAGTAGGGTATTTTGATGTTAGCAGATTTAAGCATTATATGCTTGGCAGGTCCTACTCTAGCATCATAATGTCTGCTCTTATGAGATTAATCCACTTATTTGGGAAATGTTTCCTCCTGGGACTATCTGCAGTGCAAGGTTAATTTTACTTTTTTAGCCATCACTTCCAAATTTCCCCTACTACCTCTTGTCTCAAATCCCCACTGTATCCTTTAGATTGTAAGCTCATGGGCTATTTAGCTAAACGCTTTTTATAAAAGAGCTTAAATGGCTAGATCTTGGGCAGGGTCCTCTCTACCTTTTGTATTTGTCTGTGTATATTGTTTGTTCTCCTGTAATTGTACAGCGCTGCCGAATCTGTTGGCGCTTTATAAATACCAGTAATAAATAAATAATTAAGTAGTGCCCTGGAATAGAGTAGCACCTGCCAAGAATGGGGTACATTGACGGCATGGCAGACTTATGCAATGTATGATTATATACGTTAACTAAACTCTCAGTATTATTGCCTAGGTGAGGTGTTTTTAAAAAAAAAAAAAATACATTCTGTGAGCCTTGAAATTGATGTTTAGTGAATAAGTGAGTGCACTGGATCTTGTATGTTATACGAGAGCAGAAGCACACACTTCTCACCTCTCTTTACCTTCTTACTAACAGGCAGAAGCTCATGGTATGCAGTCTGAGACATAGAAAAGGTGGATGTAGTGTGGAAGAAAGAGGACATGCAACAGTGTTAGAAAGACCAAGCAGCAAGAGCATTTGCACAAAATCAGCTTTACCTTAACTAATTTATAGTCAGCCAATCCACATACGTTTTGTTACCCTACATTCCTTCTAAGCCCCATACTTAATTCCCTCTGCACAAAGCAAGAGCATGTCAATTGAAAGTGGACAGTGGTGAAGGTGGACATGAGTCATCATGGTCTGCAGCTACACAACCAAATACACAGCAAACTGCGATGCACTGTGTGTTCTGACATCTTTCTATCATGGTCAACATTACATTTTTCAGCAATTTGCGCTACAGTACCTCTTCTGTGTGATCGGACCAGATGGGCTAGCCTTTGCTCCCCACGTGTATCAATAAACCTTTGGAGCCCATGACCTTTACCGGGTGGGCTTCTTTGCAACACTTTTGGAAGGTACTAACCACTGCATCCTGAGAACATGACACAAGACTTGCCGTTTTAGAGATACTCTGACCCAGTTGTGTAGCCATCACTATTTGGCCCTTGTCAAAGTCACTCAGATCTTTTCTCTTGCCCATTAATTCAATAACTAAATGTTCTATTGCTGCCTAATATATCCCACCCCTTGACAGTTGCCGCTGTAATTATATAATCAACGTTATTCACTTTAACCGTCAGTGGCAGATCAGTCTATAAGATATATAAATATCTTGAAAGACCAATAGAATGTATCGTTTACTGGTCTATCCGTAGTAGCAGGAAGACCCCTAACAGTTAGCTACCTCTCAATCCGGTCAATTGGGATTGAACAGAGATTTAACCCCTTAAGGACACATGACATGTGTGACATGTCATGATTCCCTTTTACTCCAAAAGTTTGGTCCTTAAGGGGTTAAAGGATAAAAATGAACACTATATTGTTAGTAATGCAAAACTGTAATCCTAACACTATACTGGCCTTTTGCCCATGCGAACCCCATCCTCCTGGCAAGTAAAAGGTAATCACTTACCTGATTCCAGCTTTGAGGTCCCTCAGCGCTGGACCGTTCTCTGTCTCTTACAACGTCAACAATGGGGGAACCTTATGTGCATGCCTCAGTGCTTTCCAGTGTGGACTTTCAAGACACTGGATGACCTTAGGCAATGTGAGGACGTCCAGCATTATTTTATGGAGTTAAGTTCTGTAAAAGGCCAGGAAGCGCTTCTATTGGCTGTCTGGTAGACAATCACTAGAGGCTGTCTTAACCCTGCACTGTCTGAACACTGCACTCAGACCACTTCAATGAGATGAAGTGGTCTGGATGCATATAATGTCCCTTTAAGTGACTTATTTCCCACCTGCAGATCGACTCATCATACAGGATGACTGGACTGCATTAAAAACTATTACTAGCCATAGCATAGCTGACATCAGTTTATACACAGCCCAGTTCACTGGTTAGTATTTTCCTATCGGCAGTGCCAAGGACTATGATGTGGAAGATAGAGAGAGCCATCGTTTTTGTGCGTGTGGTATGCTTGGTGCTTAGTCTGACCCATTGAAGTACTTTCTGAGTTTTTCAAAAGTAACAGCTCCAATAGGGGAGATACTTACCTACTTTCCCCACATCTTTCTCTCTCTTTCAACCATAAATCCCTTTTCCATTCAGAGTAAAATAAATTCTCTCTTCTCTTCTATCCACCAATCACTATGTCTTCTTCACATTCCAAAGCTATCACTTTTCCTGCAGACCCAGCCAGGGCACCATCCCTCCCCTCTCCCAACATGCAAAATCATTTCGGTATTTGCAGGCTTATTCACCAAACTTGAATGTTTGCAAATTAATTCCAAACAGTAAAACTGAGGCAAACATAGCCACGCTATGACTATATATCTTTTTTTAGAGAATTTTTCCAGATCATCAATTTTTTGCCTCAGTTTTCCCATCTGGAATGAATTCACAAAAAATTCTAAGTATAGTAAATAATTTGCTCAGTCTCCTCCTGTTTTTTTGAGTGTGTCATATTTTAATGCTTTCTGTAATTTGGCCAAACAGAAGGGAGCGTAGCACGCTACCAACACCAGATAATGTGCAGACTTCTGCTCCCTAGAGACTATATTTGGGGGCATGTCCCCCAAGAAATATAATGTCGTGTTCTGGGACTTTAATGAAGTGGTGGAGCACTGTACCATGCCGAACCATGAATGAAAGCTATGCCCAGCTGTAAAAAGACATATGTATAGTTAGAGTGAAAAAGACAAACTGTTATTGATACAGAGTATGAGACAGACAAGCGGATAGTTCATTTTTTCCCACAGGATGCAAGCGTACAAGTTTCCAGTGAAGACACACGCCTCCCAGCCAGCCAGCAGCTCTCGCTAATTAGCAAACGTGATGAGAATAGGAAACACAGCAGCAAACAATGGCAGCGTGGGAACCCAGTGTAAACTGCAATTACAGAAACCCTCTTCTAGAAAATAAATAAACAAATAAATAAAAACCCATCAACAAGCAGACTGGCAGCATGAGAAACTGGTTTATTGGTGGAACAGAGTCTCCACTCTCTAGCCAAGCACAAGTGGCCTTTTTTTCATGCCTACAATCAAGTATCTCTGAAACCCCTTTATTCCTTTTCATTTATTGAGGCTGAGACTCTGCTATGGACATCGGAAGGGGGAGTGAGTTTGAAGACTGGGGGCGCGAAACGTGTTTTGGGAATCTCAGCACTTGCCAGGTCATTGGAAAGGTCAGCTGACTTTTGTTGAGAATACAATGAAGGATAAAAGAGATGGGGCAATGAAATATCCTGCTTCAGACAGCTTACAAGCACATGTCTCATGCTGTCATTTTGATAGGTTCTGAGGTAACACTTGCAGCTTGTTGTCCAGTTGCCAAGCTGAACGGTTGGTGGGCTTTGCTTATGTGTCAAAATTTTACCCTCTTCCTTCTCCAAGCCAGCACGTCTAACAGTATAATAGCGCTATTGTAAGAGAGCTTTTCCCGGAGCATTTTTAGAACGTAACCAGAATAATTGCAGGTGCAGCAACCGCTGGCAACGATGTATAAGACACGTAGGCTTATTTGTTCAATCAGGAATTGCAGAGGATTGAAAAGAAAATGTAATTGATTCATTTCTCTTTAGGCTAAAGTAAATGAACAGAAAAAAATAGCATAGTGTTTTAGATCACCTATTTAGGCCTAGCCCTGGTTTAGAGAATAAACATCTCTATGACTAATGATTGTTAATAAAATGTAATATTTTCATTTATTTATTGTTGCACAGCAGGGCTAACAATATCCTGTCCTAGGGCTACTAGCCAGGTCTTAAAAGATACTTCCCACTGCATACTTGTAGGGTCCATGGCACACTTAGAAGGGGTGAATTTCTACTCGCCAGGGCTAAATTTGCACTCAGCAATGGCTAGAAGAGTATGAAAAATTTTGAGCCCTGGAACATAGAACAGATATTGACATGGATATGGGATTCTCACATTCTGTGGTCGTTGCAACAAATTTATTAAACTATAACGAAGCTCTCATTCACAAATCGAGTTCACATTTCACATTTGACGATCAGGGCTAATTTCCAATGTTGTCATGACTTGTTACAGTGTCTGTCACCACTATTAGTGAGTGGTGGTTGTTGACCGACTTCAACATTTCACCAGTTGCGTCAAGGAATTACTGGCTACAAATACTTAAAGTCGGTCTTTAAATAGCCGGTAACAACTCCCTTTAGTCTATATGAGAGCCGCTAACTGCTACTTAGTGACTTGGTTTCAACCCTTCATCTACTGTTTAATGACTGTTGTTCATCCTCTCAATTTAACCTTTCCTAACTGCCTCCATTTAACTCCCCCGCACAGAAATGATATAATAATCTAACCCTGGTCTCTAGAATAGCCCTTTTAGTTACCTGTTCCATCACTGACTGCAGTAATTGCAAAATCTGAACCATTTAATGCATAGTTTGAAAACAACAGTCAGGTCCACACTTCCCTCATTCCATTACGTATGGACTCCCTGGAAACATTACCAGGATTCTATGTCAAATATTTCAGATTATGGTCCCTTTGTATACTAACAGAGCACCTGGACTGGATGAAGTGTCTGTGTATGACGCCACCTTGCTCCCAAACGTCGGTGTACTGGAATGCAACCTCATCGTATAAAGTACTGCAGTTATGGTAGGAGTTTGGCACTTCAGTGACTGACTCGGTGGAGGAGTAAGTCGTTCTTCTGCCATAGTTCCGCACATACATACTACATTTGAGTGAGGTGACGCACAAAGCTGCTGCCATCAAGACGTTACTCATCCATCCATTTTAATTTATGAGTTCGCTTCATCAGATTTTATAGAGAAGTTCAAGCAATCAGTAAAAGTTATTTTGTTTAGATATTGAATCCAATCAGCTGTGAATGCAAAAAAGAAGATTGGAGCTTTCACACAATATGTTAAAAGGTAGGCATTCCACTTAATGCGTTGGTTTCAGAAACAAAAACACTCCGTTAAAATACAGTAGAAAAGAAATGTGATGTGGTCACCAATAGAACAAAAGTAAGTGGACTAAATAAATCTTTACAATATTACAGCATTGAATCATGATGATGAAATCCAATGTTCTTCTATCTTTAAAACGAGTGAACATAAACTTGTAAAGTGATTAATGCTGCTCACACAATGTAGAGCATTGGTAAGGATACATTACAAATTTATTGTTCAATATTTATTGCCGTGTTAACAGCTGCCAATGTGTCATCTATAATGTTGATGCAGTCACCAGCCCACCAGTACCATTACTGGCTAAGTCAAATGGGGCCTATGCTTTACATAAAACACTCACATCTAAGTGAGCACAGTTCTACCGAAGACGAGATACTGACACATAAACACAGACATTGGGCACTTAGCGAGTCCAAAAACGAAAATAACTTAAAAAGTAAAAAAAACAAAAACACTTTTCTTACAAAAAGAGTGTATGATCAGAATGGACACTACAAACATCTCTGTATAATGACTACTCAATAACCAATTTAACTGATTAAAGGTCATCATATAAATACTGTAACTACAAGATAATATAGCAAAATTGATCACATGACAATACACAAGCACAATATAACTGAAATGTCTGTTTTGTTCATTCCTGTAATGTAATAACAAAACCTGTAAAGGCTGTATTTATTTTGCCATTAATATGGCAGCATTTTCATATCCAGCTTGACATTCCAATACTTACAAATCCTTAGTTCGGCTCAGATTTAAATGAACACTACATGCACCATAACTACTACACCATGATGAAGTGGTTATGGTGTCAAATATACCCTGGGGCCTCGCCAATGTAAGGAGTAAAATCTTTATGACTTCTCTTACCCAGTGTGTGTTGGGCACAGTTCCTTACTACTTCCTATGAAGAGCCAGAAAATTTTCCTTTAAATGATTACCTTTACAATAAAATGTTATGTGAATTTTGGGCTGTTGCACAATTCCAGCTCAAAGCTAGGACATTTTTCAACTGATGCTAGATTTTAACTTAGTTCTTAGTGTTTAACATTTTTAGGGCATGACTCTGTGTTTGAATTGTAATAAATAAGTGATTTACTGCATTATGAGCCCCCCTTCTACGGTAAAGGGAGGGATTATAGTACTATTAAGCAAACAGGTTATTCTGGGAAGAAAGTTAATTTTATTTTAGTTTTGGGAAAATTAGTTTCCTGGAGGCACAGTATATCTGCTGCCGTTTTGCGGGCTTCCTGGAGTAACATATGCCTTTTGTGGGGCATGTTCAACCCACGTACATTATGTGAATAGACTTTCAGTGTAGATTAGAATTAGGGCGGCTAACTGGCATATTGGGCATATCTTGTGGGTTCCAGGGAGTGCCCCTTGTGTATGAAGGCATTTGTTGAGCAATCTCTGGGTGGTAACACTAGAGATCATGCGGCTGATAGTGCCAAATGGTTGGAGATGAAAAAGCACAGCCGGATTGTGCTGGGGGGAGGTGTAACAAGGGTAAATTTACAAGAAGCCAAAAGAAAAATTAAAAACATAAAGCAAAGTATGTACAGTAAAGTCAGATCTGGGTGTATGGTGCTAGGATATAGCACTGTGGAGGGCATGGGATTGGAGGTGGTGTCAGTGCAGGTGGCCTGAGCCGGCATGAAACATCATGGTGGCAAGGATCAGGTGGATCAGAGTGGCAGTACAGATATGCCAGACATGACCAAATAAAGCTATAAACATTAATATTAATACAGGGCACCTCTTTTTAACATAGTGAGGATTTCTATGAGAAAATAACCATCTGTATGTTATAAGAGGTAAATCAACAAGAGGTATTAAATTGGTAAGAGACAGTTAGGTCACATTCAACATGTTACTGCCTAAGCAGAAAATACTTTTTGGAGATGATTAGGCGGATAGGGAATCCCCAGCGGTACAGTTTGCGGTGTTCACGCAGGGTTTCTGTAACTTTCTGTCAGTCTTTGCTTTGGTCCAAAAAGACCCTAACACATGCATATTAGGCCGTGAGGTCTTTCGTTGTTCTGCTTTGTTGCATGATGAGATTTTTCACATGAAAGTAGTGTGCAAATCCCGGGGTAGCAAGGCAGAAATATGTTTGGGTTTAGGGAACCTGTGTAAATGGTTCAGCAGTAGCATATCCGTTGGGATCTCGGGACCAGGAGCTTAAAAAAACTATTTACATATGCTGGTAAATCCATCGGGAGAACCGTCTTGGGAATCTCTTGCAAGCGGACATTGCTGCGACGGGACCTAGCCTCTAGGTCCATAATCTTTGCTTCGCACTGTGTTAGTTGTGCAGTAAGGTGTTGAATCTGCTCCGTAGATGTATTGTGAGCGTCCACAAATTCCTCCACCTTGGTCTCCACGTGTGCCCTATGGGATCCTAAGTCGTGCAGATCATGTTTTATTTTAGCAATGCTGGCCAGCCAGATGGAGATATGCTTATTAGACTGCTTGTCCAAGGTTTGCTGGATAAAGGCCGTGGTAAGTGGTTCCACTTCAGGCGTTTGCTCCAATTCAGAGCTGCTTCCTCAGGAGTGGCATCGCATCCGCAGTCTACATAGCCAAAGTAGCTACCTTTTTCTGGGCAAAGAAATTAAATTTTTCCACTTTTGCTTGATTCCGGCGTGATTAAGATAGGGACATCATGGGATAACATTGCAATTTCTCTCAGGAAATTCACTAAAATACGGGTTTGCCGAGATTGTGGTGCAGAGCTGAAGGCTCAAGCGGCCATCTTTCTCCATGTCTATACATGCCCCCCCATTAAGGCTGTTTTTTAATCTCATCACTTATCATGATGTTTACAACCAAAACACTCAATCAATCTTAACACAAACCTTATTCTGACAGTTTTCTCCCATCTTCATATGATTTACTCTGTTGACCGATGAATAACCACTAGTGATTAGCTCATGTCCCAAACATTAACCACTAGTGATTAGCTCATGTCCCAAACATAATGCATCATTTTCTTTACAGGGGTACAATTCAATAAAAAAACATTGAAAATTTCCTTTAACTTGTGTTAACCTGTTTTATGTGATAGTTAGGATTTAACAACTGACATCACATTCCAGTTTACACCAGGCCCAGGCAAGGCACACATTGCATTGGAGGAGAAACTAAAATAGTGGGGGGGTAAGGATGGGAAGTATAACATGAGTTGTGTTCACTGTTTACTTTGGATTTCTGGCACTTTTCCTATTCGTCACATCTTTTGTCATTTTGTTTTCATTTTTGTTCTTTTTGTTTTGGTTCACAAGTTTACAACTTATAAATAAGGTTAAAAAAAGTGTGCCTTTTCCGACAACTTTCATGATTTTTTTTTTTTGTATAAAAACATTTTCAAAGTGCCAATGCACCCATTATACCTAGTGATATTATTTATTTATTTTGTGAATGCAATCAATGATAAAATTATAAGGAAAAACAACCCAAAAGAGTAATACATAATGGCAGAAAGACATATTCAATTGGTGCACTACAGAACAGCAAAAGTAAAAAAAAGCACCAATTTAACCGGTGGAGTAAAAAAAATGTATACATATAAAAATGTTTCATAGGCACATAACTGGTGCAAACGTGAAAATCAATGGGACTTTTTTTTCTATTTCCAACCTCTCCTATGCTCTTCTCCATGCTGACTAATAGATGCAAAGAAGAGAGCTTCTCACCATGATTGGCAAGGAGCCAAGATAAAGTATAAGAAAAAATTATATTTAGTAACAGAACCTGGGATATTGTAGATGTACGAAGGCAAACTGCTGCACCACAAGTCACCTCAAATCTTACCAACTTCAGGGATGCAACAGGTTGAATGCAACCCTGAAGCATGAATGCTTTAATAAGTATCAACAGTGAAATTGTGCTCCCATCTGACACTTATTTTTAAATTTAGCTAGAGGTGTGCACAAAATTAATGAGATTGAAAGTAAATGTTATGCC